TCCAGTCCAGCCCCGATGGGCAGCACCTTTTGGTCCTGCAGAAGAGCCAGCTGTCCTCCCTGCCCCGGGTGGTGGCCTTCCAGCGCCACAGCATCAGCGGAGCCGACCTGGAGAGGAACTGGCAGCCACCCCAGCCAGCTGTTGTGGGACTGCTCTTCCTGGAGAGTCCTGTGACATTGGGCTCCTGGGTACTGGCCGTTGTGTGGGAACATGGTCTGGCACTTTGTGGTGGCTGTGGGCTGGCAGCTGCTGCAGACGCTGGAGCTTTGCCAGGGTGCCCGAGCACGAATTATCTCCGTGTGCAACCAGGGAGCCAGCCTGGTTTGGTGTGAGGAGAGGCCTCCCCTGGATGCCCACTCAGACATGAGCAAGTGTGCCTTCAGGTTCTGTGTCTGCACCCGGGCTCTGGAGGTAGGGGAGCAAGGCATGCGGCTGGGCACCGTACGGATAGTCCTGCACAACAGCCCTGAGTACCAGGTCCTGGCCTCCCCCCAGCACGTCTTCCTGGTGCCTGCTGCTGCCGGCTTTGCCACCACTTCCAAATTCCTCCTCATCTGGCATCCTGAGAAGTCAAAGCTCACTATCACAGCCCCCTCGGTAGGTTTCGTCCACAGCAAGGCATTGCGCTCCAGCAGTGAGTCAGACTTCAGGAAGCTCCTGCTTGGTTCTGTGGGTCTTCTTTCAGGTTTGGTACCTCTGGACATTCACACCTCTGCTGTGTCCAGCGGTGGAGGTCTGCTGCTGGTGAGCACAAAAGGTGCTGTGAACATGGTGGAGCCAGATGGGACCCAAAGGCATATCTTTGACCTGGAGGGGGGACCCCAGGCCCAAAGAAGTCCTGTCCAGCTGAAGAGCTTTGGCAGCATCCTGGCCTGCATGCTGGCTGGGGTCCTGTATCTCGTTGACCAGAACAGCGGAAGGCTCATAGAAAAGAAAGTCCTGAGCATGAAAGAGGTGCATTTGCTGAAGTCCCCGGGAGAGGAGGACAGCATCCAGCTCCTCACTCAAACAGGCATCTACAGCTTTAGCTTCTCCAAACCTGAGGACAGCAGCAGACCTGAGCCTTGCCTGGTGGAGATGGTGTTCGAGGAGGCCTGCAGATACTACCAGAGGAGGAGCCTCAGCAGCTCCAAGCTGACGGTGGAGAAGGTGAAGAAAGGTGGTGTGTTCCAGGCCCCTGTGGCCCTTGCTGCCATCCTGCAGCACAGTCTCCACCAGAAGCAGAAGCCAGCCCGAGGCCTCCAAGACACTTATGCCAAGCTGTTGAGCACAATGAGCCTGGAGCTGCAGAGCTACATGAGCCTAGAGCTCCTCAAGACCTGTGTGGTGTGTGCCCCAGAGAGTGAGGTGGAAAGCTACTGTGAGGAACTGGTGGAGCAAGAGGTCAGCCGCGTTCTGCACTCTGACATGGATAAGGACAACTTGGCCTACCTGAACTCCGTCTTTGCCTCTTTCCCCAAGGCTGCCTGGAAGGCCACGAGGAGCTGCCTGCAGCTGCAGCAGAATGGGGATGGTCTCTTGGTAGCCAGGGCCACCCCGGAGGTATGGAAGAAGGTCCTGGGAGGGCCACAGCAGGAGGAGGTGGGTCAGAATGGGGTGGTCCCGCTCTTTGAGCTCATCTGCGCCTCCTTCCTGAGGTTCAAACCTAAGTGGCTGCCCAGTTTTGTGGAGCTGACCCAGCAGTATGTCAGCATCTCTTGGGCATACAGCAGCAAGGAGGGCCCAGAGGGCCGGGTGCCGCTGTACAAGAGAGCACTGGGAGTACTGGCCAGGAAGAACAAGCGCAGTGAGGCAGATGATGAGATGGAGCTCGAACTGTTGCTCTGCAGCAAGAGGCCTAAGGCCGTGCTGCAAGCTCTGCACCTTCTCCTCCGCCTGAAGCGGTGGCAGCGGGTGGTGGAGGTGGCGGAGAAGTTCTGCAAGCTTAGCCCCTTGCTGAACAAGGAGATATTCACCACGCTCCTGGCAGAGTTTGCCCAGCACCGGGAGCTGGACCCTTATCTGGACACGCTGTGGTCACTGTGCCCTGCTGAGCTCACCGCCTCGGACATCCTCACCGTCGTCCTGCAGCACCTCCCTCGCTCCCAGGAGGAACCAGTGCCCTTTTCCAGCGAGGGGAACCAGCTGACTATAGGCTTGCTCAAGCCGCTGCTGCAAAGGGTCGTGCAGCATCCCTGCGTCCAGGACGAGATGTACTCGGATGCCTTGCAGAGCCCCACCTTCCCCCCTCCTACCCCACCTCGAGAGCACAAGATCTTCTCAAAAGCCGTGGCTGATGATGCCCCTCAGCTACCCATGGCAAGGACTTCCTCCCCCTCGCCACTGGTACAGGGTGACACTGCGTAAAGGGGGGAAACACAACAGGATCCCAAGCCCTGGGTGCAGGAGGCGGGGAAAGCTGCACCCACCTCAGGAAATGCTGCCCTGCCTGGCAGCACGGAAGCCTTCTCCTTTCCGAAGCCTCCCTGCGGCAGCATCTCAAAGAGTCTGTGGGGTGGCTGGGGTCGGGGGTCTCATCTGAAGCCAGGGCAGCTTCCTGGCTGTTTCTAGCAAGTGCAATTGCGTGTGCCCCAGCGGAGGAGCAAATGCTGGGTGTGTTTGCAGATGAAAGCGCTGGCTGCACTACAGAACTGCTCTCTGCCCAAAGCACTTTGTTTTCAGTTTGCTTGGCTCCTTTATAACTTCACTTCTACTTCCCTGGTCCTCTAGGAGTGGTGGTGGAGCGGTGAGCAGGGACATACACAGTCTTTTCCCCCCACCATTCTCTGCTCAGTGGGTTGGGTGGTGCCTCCCAAGATCTGCCTGTGAGAACCTGGGCATGTTTCTTGCAGCGGGGTCACCGAGTCCTCCTGCTTTGGGCTCACACAGATGCTAAATGCTCGTGTGGTGCAGCTCGGTGGTACTGGGGCTCGGAGCACACGCGCTGGCAGCTGCAGCGCTCTGTGTGCTGTCTCGCTGCAATTCCTCTGGGATCAATCCTGTGGCTGTGACTGATTGCAGCTACTCAGCTGAAGAGAGCAGCCTAATTCCCTTATCTCTCTATCCCAGACGGTACCCAAACTCTCTTCTGAGCTGAGAAGCTGGCAGCAGCCTGTGCAAGCTTGGGGCTGGCCCTGCCTCTCCCTTTCTTTTGTGGAAGCTTAGATTATGCTGCAGGACACCCGGGCCCTCTGTTCCCATCTCCTCTACCTTTGCCCTTTGCACACAAAGGGGCTTTGTCAGGGTTGTCTGGCTCATATTGTGCCTCTGTTTGCAAAGTCAGTGTAACTTGAGAGCGGTCGTGCAGGAAGATCCAGGTTCCAGCCACTCTCTCTGGTGCTCACTGCCAGGCCCCCTCCTCCAGGAGAGACCCTGGCTGTGGCTTTGCCCCTGCATTCCGGGCTGTGGTGTGAAGGAGCTGGCTCTCGCCTCGCTGGGCTGGCAGAGCCTGACTGGGATGGGGAGATTCACTTGCATTAGTCCACTTGCCAGTGGGGTTAAGCGTGGAAGACAGACTCCTTTTAAAAATAAAGGTTCCTAAAGCAATGCTGGGGCGGTGGTGGATGTTGTGAGGATGCACACCCTCAGGAGGAGGGCAGTTTCATTTTGCTGCTGGTGAAAAGTGGCCAAGCTCAACTCACTGTGGTACTGCCCAGCGTGGCTCGCTGCTAATATATGCTGGGCTCAGAGACGGAGCTGTGCCCGGACAGCCCATTCTCTCGTGGTGTTCAGCTCCTTACTGCTATGAAGCTATGGAGGCAGGACCTGCACAGGCAGGCAGGACTGCATGTGGCCACAGAGAAGGGCCATCCAGGCAATCCACAGTTCTGCCTGGGCCCAAGATAGAGTGGAGGAAAGGATAATTTTTTTTCTTAAGAGCTGCAACCTATCCCTTTATTCTTGGATGGAAAACCAGCAACGGGAAGCACCAGGCTGGCCCCGGTGGGAGCCTGCTGGCCCAGGCATGCAGCGGCAGAGCTGCTGTTGTGGGATCCTGGTCTGTCAAGCTGCCTTAGAGATGTGGTAGGCCTCCTGCAGACAGTGGCTCAGCGGCAGAAAGTCCCTGTG